CCACACACGAAAGTGACCTGAGTCGGATTTGAAAATATCGGATTTGTGCCGTATACACTGTCATACCATGATTGGATATTGGACGCATAGGGTCAGAAAAGTCGAATTTGATGCGCTTTCGTCTGCAATGTGAACGTAGCCAAAGACAGAGGCTAACACAATAAAACAGGAATCAAATGAAAAAAAAAAAACAATCTCAAAGTACAAAGTGAAAACACTGGGTCAACAAACCAGAAACCCTGACAGTACAAGATCTGCATACAAATTAAGAACACCAAACACCTGACAAACACTTCACTGCCAGAGTGGATATTAGATATTAGGGTTCCACAACATGCCAAATTTCATCTCTGAACAGGAACAACTACCAGACACTTGCAAATGCACATAACTTACATGGTTTTTGCTGTCAGGTCTGGATCCACCCAATAACAGAACCTTGGCGCTCTGAGCATGACCATTCTGACATGCAAGGTGGAGAGGTGTATTTCCTGCCTGCAAACAGGAGCAGAGAGAGTATGACATTTACTAGTGTTCCCTGGAGATACTTTTGTTGCAGTGACATATACCATATATTTATATCGTCTTTTTTAGGTGGAAGAAGTATTACAGTATAAAAACTGACTCACAGTCCTCAAGCATTCACAGACTGGCTGTATTGACAAAATTTTAAATAACACAGACAAAAACTAAAGACATTTTCTACCAGCGTCCTTAGTAGAAAATGTCTTAATCTATTTTTTTTCCAAGCATAGATTATAGCCTCAGTTTTCTTTTTTGTCTAAAGTTTTTAATTTCAACTATCAAGCATATCTTTCACACTTTAAGATTTTTGTTATATTTGGTTAACTACAACAATATTGATTAGAACTTTCAGCTAATGTATTCAGTGCTGCAATCTCAGGTTAAGCCTAGGTTCACCTTGTTTTTGGTATAAACATTGGCTCCAGCTTTCACCAGCAATTTCACAGATTGAGTGAAGCCATGCCAGGACACCTCATGGAGAGCAGTATTGCCATCCTGACAGAAGACAAAAAGGCAAATGAACAACAAACAGATTGATGTTTACAACTCTGTCAACTCAAATTGAAGAGAAGCTTAATTTGATCAATTTTCAATTTTATTCAATTAAATTTTATTTATGCAGTACCAAATCACAACAACAGCCGCCCCTAAACAGCATAACAGTAGACCCCACATTCATAAGGAAGTCATGAACTCAGGTTGGTTATGAGGGAATTGGAAGGCAAGCACACCGCAAAACTGTAGAACAACAGAATCAACATAGTTGTTATTTCCAGTAGAGGGTCAAGTGATAAAACTGTAAATGCAAGGCTTTAATTTGGAATTTAAAACCAAACTACACCTATCTTTTCATCATTTATAATTGAATATAGACACACCCAGCATATTGCCAAAACTATTGGCTCATCTGCCTTTATAAGCATATGAAGTCAGTTACATTACATTTTACCATCCTAAAGGTCAGGACTCTGTGCTGGCCAGTCAGATTCTTCCACACACAAATTTGTTCCTCCATGTCACTATGCAACTTGCTTGTGCACTGGTGCGCAGTCACAAATAGGGTTAGGAAACAGAAGAGTTGTTAATCTGAGTTGTTAATCTGCCGGTCTATCAATTCTGTTTATTGCTTACACTTGCGCTTACACTACAATCAGCTGATTTCAGTTGATGTGTGGGAGGACGAAATAGCGGCACAGTCTACAGTGTGGATATGGGTATTGCTTTGGTAAAAAGTGCAAACTGCGTCTATAACAGAAGACTGCAGTCATAGAAACAACAATGATACTGCACAGCACTTTCAAGTTCCCAGGCCTCTGGTAGAGGACCCGAGTTTGCCATTCAGACTGGAGAAGTGTAGATGGATGGTAACAAAGACAGAAAAGCTAGTCAGAACCAAAAGGATTGCACAACTAGAAGGCAACACTGCAGACATTTGGGATAACTTTAAGTACCTTGGAATCCCAAAGCAACGGTGATAAGGCTACTAACAAAGTAGCAACCACCAAATACCTGCACAGAGTAAGGCAAGTCCAGAGGAGTCAGCTGAACGAGAAGAACAACATCCAGGCAATCAACACCTACATGCTGCTAGCACATCGCTGCTGGATTAATAAGGTGGCCAAAGAAGGAGATAGAAGCCACTGACAAGAAATTTCCTTATCATGCATGGAGGGTTTCAACTAAAGGTGCAACGGATCACGGTTGATCCATAATCCGAACTGATCTCACTCCACGGTTCGTCACGCACGTGATCCGAAGATTCGAAAAAGAAGAAAAAAGTATGTGTATGGTGCACGTGGTCAGTCTGTCAAGCGATAGCTATGGTCAGCGCTAGCGGTCCAAGTGGAGGAGCAGAAGAGTTTGCGGTATTTAAGCAGCCCTTTGCTGCCCAATCTGACCAGGCTAAAGCTATTACAAAAGCTATTGGGGTGTTTAGCTGCAGACGGGAGGCTGTATTCTGTTGTGCAAAACAAGGGGTTTAAACTAGTCAACGCGTTAGTTAACGCATTGACGCCGTGCAGCCCCACGCACAGGAAGATCCGCTGTAACTAGTTAATGGAGATTTGCCGCGTCAATGCAGTTATGGCATTAATGTCATTTTAACGAGATTTACGCTGACAGCACTAGTTTAAACTATGATGAACGTGCTTGAGCCACGCTATGACATTCCATCGCGCGTACACTTCAGTGACAAGATCGCTCCAAGCGTGTATGAGTAGGAAAAGTTTAAAGTTATGACTGAGCTGTCCCAGGCATCTTCTGTTGCCCTAACTACAAATGGGTGGATCTCCAGGGCAACGGAAAGCTACGTGACCATGACCGGTCATTATATCACAGCGGAGTGGTAGATAGAAAGCCTTGTACTGTCCTATATTGCATCTTAATTTGTTTTTATATAATTGCGTGGAATGATTCTTGAGTTGAATGTTTTTTAATAGGCAAAAAATACTTAAATAAGTCTTCTTTTTTTTCTGCTGATCCGAAAATTGATCTGATCCGTGAGGAAAAAAACGTGATCTGATCCGAACCGTAAGACTTTTGATCAGTTGCACCACTAGTTTCAACCCACGTCCAGCACCATTAGACTGTATGCTAAATGGAAAGAAAGTAGATTTTCAGAACCACTATCCAGAATGAAACAACACAAATCCATTAGAAAGAGTACATCAGAAAGATGAACACAACGAATAACGTGCATATTGACTATCTCAGGCAGCAGAAACACAAGAAAGAAAAGGAGCAAGAAGAGGAACCATCATGGAAGGACAGGCCCCTGGACAGCATGTACCAGCAGTAGATAAAAGAAGTGGTTGATATTGGAGGTCTCTTCTGCCAAAAAACCCCCCAAAAAGTTCTTCTTCCCACCATTGTTAAAAGTTGCTTTGTGGGGGAATTTTCAGATTTCTGGAATTTTGTCTCTAACCTTACTATATAAAACATCTTGAGGTGACTGTTGTTGTGAATTGCAATTATACATAAAAAATGTACTAAACGGAATTCATTTTGGATCAGACCAAACTAAAAAGTCTGAAAGTAGGAAGCAAAAAAGTAACTTAACAGTAAATATGAAGACAGTCAACTTTTTAAAATACTGCTTTGCAGCTTGTCGATATTAAAATACTAAACTCATGACTACAGAACAGTTTAAAAAATATATAAATATTTGTAAACATTTATGCACAGAACAAAGCCACTGTATATTTGTATATTCAGTCTCCAAATTTTGACCATTTAAGTTTATGACTTGATGTGTAGTTCTACAGAAAAACCAAAAGCAAAAAAGTCCAGTTGTAAAGAGGTTCACAGAAAGCAGTTTATTAAATATGTATCTGAAATTATAGTAAATGATCATACCTTGTCCTGTCTGTCCAGTGCGCAGCTTTCCTGGATCAGAGCATTGATAATGTCACTGTTTCCCACCACTGCTGCTCTATGTAATGCCGTCTGTTCTCCCTGTCAACAGAAATATAAAGACATAGAACTAACTACTAACACATGGTAACAACACAACACTGATTAACTGCAAAGTGTTTGAGAATCTTGTTACCCCAATTTGCAGTCCTTGCAATGATTCACACACCTCATTCAAATCTATTATTTGAATTTTGTTCAAAGCAATAGGAACTCATATCATTTTAAAATAACAAAACAAGAACATCAAATTTGAAAAATTAACATGCAACCCAGACCCATGAGGGAGGGAGGGATGGATGGCAAGACGGATGAATGGGCGGTCCGTCCATTCATCGTCATCCGTCAATGGATGAAAAGCACGACACAACAGCTATGAACACCATGCAACTGAAATGGAAGACATACCCCATTCCATCAGCTCTGCTTGTTTTACCTTGGGTGTGCAATTGGTTTATTGGCTTTACCATGAGGACTCTACGTGCCTATTACGGAGCCTTCAGTCATAGCCTACCTCCATATGTGTACCCATTGCATTGGGCACTATTGCTACATGCTATGTGGGGTGTGAAGATAAAACAGCTAGCACAAACCCGGGACCCACTAGCTCCTCCTCATTTTCAGAAATCTGGCACTGCTTAGCAATTTTGTTACTCCTACAGGACTTGATTCACAATTTTTAAAGTTACAATATATTTATATCTCTATATATTTATATATATATACACTACTAGTCAAAAGTTTGGAAACACCTTCATTTAATGGTTTTTCTTTATTTTTACCAATTTCTACATTGTAGACACATACTGAGAGTATCAAATATATGAAACAAGATATATGGAATTAACTCTCATCACTCAAGCTCCATTCAAACCACCTACATCTCATCTCCAGCACCAGCGTCTAGACTCCAGGGGGTCCTGCTCTAATCCCCTTCACAGCTGGGGTTCTGTTCTGACAGGACGGGCCAACAGAGTTTAACTGCCAAACATTTATCTGTATTTTGTTCATCAATAAATCATGTCCATTCTTTCTAATGATCTGTCCTTATTGAAGGTCAGTCCATCCAGAAAATTGCTAAAACTTTCAATGTGTCCCGATGTGCAGTTGCAAAAACCATCATGCGCTATAACGAAACTGGCTAACATTAGGACCGCCCCAGGAAAGGAGGACCAAGAGTCACTTTTGATGGTGAGGATAAATTCATCTGAGTCACCAGCCTGAGAAATCGCAAGTTAACAGCACTGGAGAGGGTCGTGCCAGTGGAGAGGCAATGCGTTGTCGCAAAGCTGCGACAGATGGAAAACAGGGTGGACCTTCATTGTGGGTGGAAGACGTAAACAATAAGTGACCGGATTGATTCTGCCATGATTTAATACGGGCCAATAAACCTGTGAGCGAGCTTTTTTTAGATCTTTTAGATGTTTTTAGATTTTTTTTTTAGATCAAGTGATCTTTTGCTTTTAGCTGTACCGAGGTCGAGGCTGGTTCATAGAGGTGATCGAGCATTTGCAGCCGTAGTGCCCAAGGTGTGGAATAATTTACCCCTACACATCAGACAGGCTCCCACTGTCAATCTTTTTAAATCTTATCTTAAAACGCATTTTTATTTACTGGCTTTTAATACAGCATGAGAGTTATCTGTTAATTCATATTTGGTGTTTGCTTTTAATACTCTAAGTTGTTTTATTAGGTATGTTGTATTCTTGTACAGTTATTTTATTATGTATGTTGTATTCTTGTACAGCACTTTGGTCAACGCTCTTGTTGTAATTAAATGTGCTATATAAATAATTAAACTATTAAACTATTTTTGGCTTCGGTACGGAGTTTCAGGTGTCTCGTGGAGAGCCAGACCCAGTTCCCTGGTTGAAATGAATGGCCTGGCCGGTGTCGGCAGCGATGTTGTTTGGTGTATTGAGCATTGCATCAAGAAATAGCAGCCCATGGCTCGATCCAGGCCAGACGACATCAACAGACCAACCGCTGGGCTGCAGGTACTTAAACCTCTGCCTCCTGGTGGTCAAAGATAGGAGGGTGAAAGCCACGATAAATTTCGACCGGTAGAGGAAAAGATGTAGAGGTTGTGAGACAGCTCTGTCCACAACAGCTAGGCCAAAGAGACGGTTGGGTGGAGATGAATCATCTCAAAAAGCGTCCCAGTTGTTGGGCGGCCCCTTCCGCCAGCCCATTAGTCTAAGGGTGGTAGCCAGACCTGAGACTGGAAGAGGCCCCAATCAGACTGCAGAAGACCTTCCAGAAACTAGCGGTGAATCGGGATCCCCTATCAGAAACGTTAGCCCAGGATGAGAGGAGAGGATGCAGCAGAGACCACGAGAAACTGGATCTACTCCTAGTGGTCCCCGATGGACATGCAAACTGGTTGGGTCTGGAACTGAATGGGGTAGTTGTTGGAGACGGTGTCCGTCTACCAATTGACAGGAATAAATGGTTAACTGGGGTTAGCGAAATGTGGAGTTGAGAAGCTAGATTCAGGTCGATGAAGTTTTCAGCCACCCCTGAGTCCAGGAGAGCCTCAAGAGGGAACCTTTTTTGTTTCAGGTGAAACGTTACCTTAAGCTGGAAATGGGACGGGTCTGAGAAACAGAAGGAGCCAAGTAGGACTCCCCCGCAGTCTACCTGGCCACATTGTTTCCCGGACCTAGAGGACACTTGGGGCGGCTATGTTGGGCCAACCCAGAGTAAGCACAAAGGCCTTCAGGCAAGCATATATTTCTCTCCTCTTTGGATAGCCTGCCCAGCTGCATAGGCTCCTCGGTGGAAAAATTGCTGGTATTAGCAGCTACTCCTTCAGAGGAGGGGGGAGGCGGCGGAGGAGTATCTCTCTGAGACTGGAAGGGTTTAAAGACCCGAGGAGTGTGACGAGGTGGTGACATAACTCGATGATCAATTTTCAAGGCGAAATCTACAGTCTCGTCCAGAGTCTTGGGAGCCTCGCGTACTGCCATCTCATCTCAGATGTAATCCAGCAATCCCGCCATAAAAAATGACTGGAGAGCAGCATCTCCCCAGTTTAACTTAGCAGCCAAAGTACGAAACTCTGACAGGAAATGACACACTAACTGATTAGCCTGACATAAATTAAGTAGATGGGACCCCACCTCCACTTCACTGCAAGGGGGACCCTCCATGAACAGGGCATAATCATTGTAAGCTGGAAACTTGCCATTGTCAATGGCAGATGGCCTGGCCTCCCCCGTCACCTGACCTAAACCCAATCAAGATGGCTTGAGATGAGATGGACTGCAGAGTGAAGGCAAAGGGACCAGCAAGTGTTCAGGATTTCTGGGAGCTCCATTTCAGGTGACTACATCAAGTTTATTGAGAGAATGCTAAGAGTGTGTAAAGCAGTAATCAAAGCAAAGGGTGGCTATTTTGATATCTATGTATCCCCCCCCCCGCTCGCCCCTGCGGGCGGTCAGTCCTTCAAGCTCAGGTCCTCTACCAGAGGCCTGGGAGCTTGAGGGTCCTGCACAGTATCTTAGATGTTCCTAGGACTGCGCTCTTCTGGACAGAGATCTCGATGTTGTTCCTGGGATCTGCTGGAGCCACTTGCCTAGCTTGGGAGTCACTGCACCTAGTGCTCCGATTACCACTGGGACCACCGTTACCTTCACCCTTCACATCTTCTCGAGCTCTTCTCTGAGCCCTTGGTATTTCTTGAGCTTCTCGTGTTCCTCCTTCCTGATGTTGCTGTCATTCGGGACCGCTACATCGATCACTACGGCCGTCTTCTTCTGTTTGCCTACCACCACTATGTCTGGTTGGTTAGCCACCACCATTTTGTCCATCTGTATCTGGAAGTCGCACAGGATCTTAGCTCGGTCATTCTCCACCACCCTTGGGGGAATCTCCTATTTTGACCTCGGGACTTCCAGGTTATACTTGGCACAGATGTTCCTGTACACTATGCTGGTCACTTCGTTATAGCGTTCCATGTATGCCTTGCCTGGTAGCATCTTGCACCCTGCTGTTATGTGCTGGATTGTCTCAGGGGCATCTTTACACACCCTGCACCTGGGGTCTTGCCTGGTGTGATAGACCCCAGCCTCTGTGGATCTTGTGCTCAGAGTTTGTTCCTGTGCTGCCATGATTAGTGCCTCTTTGCGTCTTTAAGTCCAGCTTTGTCCAGCCACTGGTAGGATTTCTGGATATCAGCTACCTCCGCTATCTGCCGGTGGTACATACTGTGCAGGGGTCTGTCCTTCCATGATAGTTCCTCGCCTTCCTCCTCTTTTTTGGGCTTCTGCTGCCTGAGGTATTCACTGAGCACGCTGTCAGTTGGGGCCATCTTCATGATGTATTCGTGGATGTTCATTGTCTCATCCTGTACTGTGGTGCTGACACTCACCAGTCCCTGGCCTCCTTCCTTCGCTTGGGGTGAAACCCTCCATGCATGGTCAGGAGCTTTCTTGTCTTGGCTTCTATCTCCTCCTTTGGCCAGCTTATTATCCCAGCCAGGTACCTGATCACGGGCAGGACGTAGGTATTGATAGCCCAGATCTTGTTCTTACCGTTCAGCTGACTCCCCAGGACTTGCCTGGTGGTTGCAGCTTTCCTAGCGGCCTCTTCATGGTTTCCATTTCCCTGTGGGATGCCCAGGTACTGGTAGCTGTCCTCTACGTCTGCAATGTTGCCTTCTGGTAGTTCCAACCCCTCAGTTCTGACTACCTTCCCTCTCTTTGTTATCATCCGACTACACTTCTCCAGTCCGAACGACATTCCGATGTCATTGCTGTATATCCTGGTGGTGTGGATCAGTGAATCAATGTCTCGTTCACTCTTGGCATACAGCTTGATGTCATCCATGTACAGGAGGTGGCTGACAACTGTTCCATTCTGTAGTCGGGATGTTGCAAAAAACAGCAAGTTGAAGATACAATTCCTTGAGTTATAAAATTCCCTGTCTGAACATCCTTGACATTTTGAGCCAGCTGGTTGAGTGTAAATTAGCAAATTAGCTAGCTACTTAAAAACAAGAGATATTTCAGTTTAAACTTGCAGGTTATTAAAAAAAACGCCAGCACGGCAGTAACACGCACCAGCCACTCTGGGTTGCTATGGAAACCTAGCCTCCAGTCCTGCCTGCAACGGTGACACCTTCCTACCAGATGTGCTGAACAACTTCTATGCACGGTTTGACGCTCAGTGACGTGTTGGCAAGGAAGTCCACCCACTCCTCACAACGACCAGATTATGTATGTGACCTCGCCTGATGTGAGAAAAACTCTTTAAAGAGTTAACCTACTGAAGACTGCTGCGCCAGATAAAATCCCTGGGAGAGTGCTCAGAGAATGTGCAGACCAGCTGACAGATGTCCTCACTGATATCTTCAACCTCTCTCTGAGCACTGTTGTCATCTCAACGTGCCTCAAGGCCACCCCCTTCATTCCTGTGCCAAAAAAGTACCCAGTGTCCCCAGTGTCCTGCCTCAATGACTATCGTCCCGTTGCACTCATACCAATCATGATAAAGTGCTTTGAGAGGCTCGTCATGAGGGACATTAAGACCCTGCTGCCACCCACACTGGACCCACTGCAGGTTACACTGCACCACTTTACAACTTGCCCTCACCCACCAGGACAATAAAGACACATATGTGTGAATGCTGTTCATAGACTTCAGTTCAGCATTCAACACAATAATTCCTCAGCTTTGGAAAACTGAGCCTGCTGGGCCTGAACACCTCCCTCTGCAACTGGATCCTGGTCTTTCTGACGTAGGTTCACATGTGGGCGATCGTGGCTCAAGAGTTGGCAGTTCGTCTTGTAATCGGAAGGTTGCCGGTTCGAGCCCCAGCTCCGACAGTCTCGGTCATTGTGTCCTTGGGCACAATTTCACCCTTCACCCATTGCCTACTGGTGGTGGTCAGAGGGCCCGGTGGCGTCAGTGTCCGGCAGCCCTTGCCAGTCATTGCGCCCCAGGGCAGCTGTGGCTACAATGTAGCTCGCCATCACCAGTGTGTGAATGTGTGTGTGAATGGGTGGATCACTGAATGTAGTGTAAAGCCCTTTGGGGTCCTTAGGGACTAAGTAAAGCGCTATACAAATACAGGCCATTTACCATTTAGAGACCTCAGACAGTCCGGATCAGTAACAGCATCTCCAACACCACCAAACTGAGCACTGGAGCCCCTTAGGGCTGTGTGCTTAGCCCACTAACCGCTAACTCATGACTGTGCAGCAATGCACAGTTCAAACCAGATCGCCGATGACCCGACTGCGGTGTGTCTTATCAGCAAGAACGATGAGTCAGCATATAGAGGGTATACAGGGTGAAACAGTGGACTGGTTTAGCATCATCAACCTGTCTCTTAACATGGACAAAATAAAAGAGATGGCTGTGGGCAGTTTAGCATGTGTGCACATGCCATACGGCTAAGAGTGGCTGGCTTGGGTTTGAATCCGACCGCATGACATCTGACCCTCTCTCTCTCCCTCCGCGTTCTTGCTCTTAGTTCATTGTGTCTGTCAATAAAGGTGAAAAAGGCCAAAAAACTAATAGATGGTTGTTGAGATCACTGTCCACTTTACATTGATGGATCCTCTGTGGAAATCGGCAAGAGCACCAAATTCCTTGGTGTTCACCTGGCAGAGAACCTCTCTCCTCCTGGTCAAAAATTGTATTATGCATGTTCCTGGGTATCAGTATCAAATTTGAAATTCTAACCCTGAAATTCAAACAACCCTAGTTCCAACTAATGTTCTTCTTTTTTTTAGGGGGGTCTTTTTGTGTGCTTTTTTTTATATTAGACCAGAGGGTGGGAAGACACAGCAAAAGTCCACAGGTTGGACTTGAACCAGGGACAACTGAACTACACCAGCACTCTAGGTCCTACTAATGTTTACATTTTTGTATATTCCTAAGGGTAATGAGTTATTCCTGACTATGTCAGTAATGGTTTTAATATGGTGCAGTTATAGCAACCACAGATAATGTTGTTTAGTCACAGTTTGTCCAGTGTGGTTCATGTGATGAAATGAAAGTAGTCAAGTCCCAGGAAAAGTTTCCACACTTAAGATCAGCCGTAAATGGAATGCTGGCCATAGAGAAGATTAGCAGTGAGTGACATGACAGTAGTAGTAGTTTGACATCAGAGCACAAAAAGAAAAAAAAGAGTAATGACTTCCATGAGATAAAGAACACGAGGGAGAGGCAAAGAACAGGGTCAATCCAAGCTAGAACGAAGCTGAGCAGTGGTTGAGTAGTAGCAGTGTTCAGGGAAAGATGGGGGGGTACAGATTTTTGTTGAATCAGTAGGACCAGATTTGGCTAACCTCTTTCAATTTCCCTGATCCTCCATGCTCTTTCTTAGCCTTTCTCCAATGGCTTCTCCCTTCTTCCTCATCGTCCTTTTCCTTCTTTCTCAGTCTGCATCTCTTGCTCCCCCCAGTGTTGGAAGCTGTACTGCAACCTGCTGCAGAGCTCATTGACCACAGAGAGTGAATTTGGCAATACCAGAGATCTGGGTTATCACTGTCTGTGGGGAAGATGGACTTGCATGCTGAAGGAAGACCCATCAGTGGGCAGACCAGAGAGTCCCATTCAAGGCCACTGGGGGCCATCAAACTACAGTTATGTTTGTGTAAAAAGCTGAATTAAAAAAAAATAATTGAGAAGCAAAAAGAGAAGCCGCTATTGGTGACGACATGCTTAGGACTGCGGTAAGAGCTGGAACTGGACAGAAGGATGACAGACTTGAATCTACTCACATCGTCTTGGATGTCCAGGTTGCAGCCAGCTTTGAGTAGGACACGAACAACCTCAATATGGCCTTTGTAGGCAGCCAAGTGTAAGGGACTTCTGCCATACTATGGACATAAAAGAAACATTAAGACAAAATCAGAGTGCACACAAGATTATCACTGGAGAGTAAGCTAGTCAACTGTAAAAACTCTATATCAATATTTGATGCTGTAGACTGTGACTGTGGTCAACTAGAGGCACAATTCAATTCAATCTGCTACATGGTATCAGTAAAGAGTCAACTGAAAACCCAATTCTCAGTCCATGCTTTAAAAGTATAGTACACATTTTGCACAGAAAATAAACAGTGCATTACAGTGTGTTTCTCCCCAATATAAGGACCCTCAAATATGAATGTTATTGTATACATATAGACAGTAAAATCCATATTTTTGCTGTATATAAGTATATGTACTGTCAATCTGTGGCACGGTACCACAACAAAGGAGGTCTGGATCAGCTCACTCTTTAAAAAAGCCATAATCTCTGATCCTATGGGTATTATCCAGTAGGCAGTGTAGAGCTAAGGTGGAGCCAATGGGTGAGGGGACCCGCCCAGAACTGATTACCTTTCTCCTCCGGGTGTCTACCCCACTGCCTCTGATAAAAGCCGCCCCCAAGTAGCCTTGCAGTCCCAGCATTCATGAGCCACACCCGTTAAAGGAAGCTCCCCTCTAGATCCCTTGAAGTCCCAAGAGTCTTTCACTTTTAGGCTAGAGTAGTAAGAGCTATTTATACATGTCCACCACTTTGACTTTTTAAATGTTCAATATTTTATTAAAGCAATTAACAGGAGCAAAGCAGAATCAAATAATAATAACAAAAACAAAACTATTAAAAAACAAATAAAACAAAACAATAATCAAAGCATTTGAGTTATACTTTTCTATTTAACGCACTCTGACACAATGATTTTTTTTTCTTCTAATTTTAGAGAGGAGAGAGGTTGAGAAGAGACAAGTACATCCAGACCTGAAGATGCACTTATCTCTGTTTTTGTTGTTGATAATAACAGTCCAACGGGAAACCAGC